GCATAGCAAGGTAGGAACAACACATACATAGGGCTCAATCAACTCCTACACATGCTAGTGGGTTTCATCTAGTTACTGTGGCAATGACAGGTCATGCAGAGGAAATGGGTTTAACTACCGTAGCACACAGCAGTTTGAATCGCGTTGTCTTAATGCAGTAAAAGAGAGCAGGAGCGAGAACATGGGATTGTATCGATATGATCAAATGGTAGGTTGCTTGCCTGATGGTTCGATGCACTGATACGGTTCTTCGTTAGGGTAATCACGGTACTCCTCGGAGGCAGAACCTGTCGCAAAGGACATCGGTACACAACATCACCAAACAATGTGCAACAATATGATGCATGCATGAAACATGGCAATATGAGTGTGTTGGGCTAATGCAACTAAAACCAGAAGGATTTGAGCAAATTTGAATCAAGGATTCAAATTTCAAATTCAAATATGGCCTTTTAAAGTGCTTTTCCTTGTTCTGCTTAAAACATCAATTTAACTTGTTTGATCATGCATGAAAATAGTACAGATGGATAGATTGGATTTTTCTGATCATTTTTCATATATAATTTGTCCAATTTGGAGTTACAGAATAAAAGTTATGAATTTTTGAAGTTTAAATAATATTCTGGAATTTCCTGATTTAAATTAAATCCAGAAATTATAATTATTGCGCCAGCATGACGTCAGCATGACGTCAGTGGTCAACTGCGGCTGGCTGAAGTCAAACCTGACATGTGGGGGCCACACGTCAGTGACAGGGGGGTTTAACAGGTTTAAATTAATCCTAATTAGGGATTAGTGGCACTGGGGCCCACTGTCAGTGTCAGGGGGGGTTGACTAACGGTAATTAGGACTAACTAACCACCTGTCCGACAGGGCCCACGCATCAGTGACCCTGGGGGGTCAAACCTCAGGTCGGACAGGTCAAACCCGCCGGCGGTTAGTCGCCGGCGAGGTCCGCGGCGTGCAGGGGCCTCGGGTTTCCTCTGTGGTGCTCCAAACGGCGTGCGGCTAGGTGCGTTGGATAGCTAGCTCGACGGCGCGTCGGACGGTGGCCGTGGCTGGCCCTGGGGTGGCCGGAGTCGACGGCGGCGAGCTCGGCTGCGGCTGCCGGAGTTCGGGTGCGGTCGGAATCGACGTTGCAGGGGGCTTAGGGAGGCGTTAGTGCGCGCTGCGTGCTCCTGGTGAGGTGGGGAGCACGATAGTGCGCTCGGTTGGGTGCTACGGTGACCGTGGCCACGACGGCGACATCGCCGGCGGCATGGAGCTCTCGGCCGAGGTGGGGCTAGGGCCTAGAGGTCGAAAGAGACCATGGGAGAAGGGGGAAACGATCCGGGGGCTCACCGCGGAGCTGCAGGGATGGTTAGCGGGCTCGGGGACGCGCTGGTGACGGCGAATTCGACGGCGACGACGGTCGGAGCCCGAAGAGGGGAACGGCGACGTGGCGGTGATGCAGGGCTTCCGGGGAGCTGTGGAGTGGTGGGGAGGAAGAGGGGGTCGTGGCGGAGCTTCTGAGCTAGTCGGGGGAGCGAGGGGTGGCCGGAGACGGCTGCTGTGGCGAACGGCGGCGACGGTGGTGTTCGGCCGTGTGAGAGAGAGAGCGAGGGAGAGGAGGGGAGAGCCGGGGGAGAGTGAGAGAGAGCAGGGGGAGAGGCGTGGCGTCGTCCAGGGCATCGAGGCGAGGAGAGGGAGGGCAGGCAGGCAGGGAGAGAGGTGGCGTGGCGCGGTGGCGCGCGCGCGCGCCGGCCACACTCCCCTCCCTCTGTCGGGACGAAGACGACAGAGGAGGGAGGTGGGCTGGGCCGGTTGCTGGCTGGGCCAGCCAGCTGGCTGGGCCGCACAGTGGAGGAGCCCAGGTAAGTTTCTACTGTTATATATTTTTCTGTTTTCTAATTTCTGACATTTGTTTTGATTTAAAAAATATATTAAATCATTTATTTAACTTATGCCAATTTTTGCAGGAGCTATATATATTAATCCAGAGCTCTTTTATAAATGGCATAATATTTGGACATATATTAATATATATAATTAATATATTTCCAATGCAAATATTTATGCATTAATTCCAAATGCCCAAAATAAATGTCCATGAGCCACTAAAATTATTGGTTTGATTTTTATCTCTGTCCAATATTTTCAGAGAGCAACATGAGCATTTTCTTGGATCCTTTTGGAGGAATTTTTATTTGGGTCATTTTCAAAATGATTCTGAGGGTTTCACAGATCCCCATTTCAAGTTTCTGATGAAAGAGTAAACATGATGCAACACTCTAATGCATGACTAGCTAGGGTGTGACAGGTTGGAACGGTTGGATCACCACTTTCTTTGCCCATTCAACTACATCCTACAATGCATACAGATGATGCACATGTTCATCGTCTTGTAGTATAACCCGCAGCACGCCCCGAGCTAACAAAGGAAGAGAACAGATGAACAACAAGTTGCAACATTCAGAAGATCAATGGAATGACCAACACATAGAGCTACAGGCCACGACATTTACGAGGTCTGATTGTCGCACCACTTGGTCACCGGTATCGCGCTTGTTTGTATGTGCCGCAATACTTGTTGAGGTGCCCTTGACTGGTGTACCATCGGTTGTCGGACTCGAGGTGCGTGAGGGATTCACATGCACAACCTGTTGTTCCTGCTCCTCCTTCTTCGCTTCGGGGACGAAGGTCCTACGATAGGTAAGAGCACGCGCAAGCACTTGACCGGGGGGAGGGGGGGTAGCGCTTCTACTCCTCCACCGTTACTAAAAGACCAGAGGTGATGGCTTTTGAATTGCAGGGTATGGAAAGTGGGTGTTGATGAACAAAATCATCTACATTTGCGGAAACCACTACTGGTAAATTTCGCAGCAAAATTGTAGCACCATGTTGGCACGGTGTGGCGAGTCAAGCATGCACGGTCGAACACGTCCGCATCCGCTCCACCGGAAAAAGCCGGTGCTACTGCTAGTGCTACGAGATACAGTAAAGCCGTGCGGCCTGACGGTTAAGCAAGTTAACCGGAAGGAACTGCTAAACCCCCGGTCACCGGCGACCGGGCCGGTGAGCGACCCACACCACCCGACTTGATTATCAATCAATCAATCGCTTGCGGGGTTGGTTCTCCCTCCCAAGTTCCCAGCCCGCCGCCGGTCGCCATCCGCCCCGGCCGCTGTACGCTTCCAATCGTCGCGTCGCCCGTCGCCGAATCAGCCGCAGCGAGGTTTAACAAGACACGAAGGTCGATAAAAGCAGCAGCAGGGAGAGAGAGACAGAGAGGTCGCGCGCTACGTAGCCAGGAACCTAATCCATCCATCCACCCGGATCAGGGAGGGAGAGGGTGGGGAGCGTGGAAGAATCCGCTTTTGGCCCTTCCGGTTCCGGCTGACTGACACACCCACCCCAGCCCAGCCAGGGAGGAGATCGTTCCTACTCGTACCACGACAGGCGACAAATCTTCCTTCTCTGTCGTCTCCGTCCTCCTCGTCGGCGCCGCTTCCTCCACTCCATCCTCCTCCTCCCCCGCTGTGGGGGTTAAGGCCTGACTGAAGGGGGCGGGTAGGTGCGTCCCGGCTGCTGTTGCGGTTTTACTATTTATTAACAAGTCCACGGGTCGCCGCCCGCCTGCCTGGGCTTGGCTTGCCGAGGAGGGAGGGAGGGAGGGGGGGATGGGGAACCGGGTCGGGGGGCGGCGGCGGCGGTCGCCGGTGGACGAGCGCTACACGGCGCCGCAGGGGCTCTACCCGCACCCGGACATCGACCTCAAGAAGCTGCGCCGCCTCATCCTCGAGGCCAAGCTCGCGCCCTGCCACCCGGGCGCCGACGACCCCAGGCCAGACCTCGACGAGTGCCCAATCTGCTTCCTGGTCAGTCCGTTTATCACCCCTTTCCCAATCTCTGCTCAGCTTCTTCTTCTTCCGCTATCCACTTGGATCCATCATAGATGCAGAATTCTGACTCGAGCTTCTCCCCCCCTCCCGCGCCTGCAGTTTTATCCAAGCCTCAACCGCTCCAAGTGCTGCGCCAAGGGGATTTGCACCGGTGAGTTAATTTCTGGCGGATGTCTTCTTCCTTGAGAATTCGCATGGTGTCTGACTTGCTCTGCTTCCTGCCTGCGCGCGTGCAGAGTGCTTCCTCCAGATGAAGTCTCCCACCTCCTGCCGGCCAACACAGTATCCTACTATCTCACTTCTCGTCAGTTCTTCCTATTCTTCCTAGGATAGTAAGTACATGATGCTGATGGCTATCTTTTGTTTTGGTGCCGGTGACCACGGCCTATCACCAATTCTTGTTTACTTCTTGTTCCTTGAATTGCAAGGTGCCACAGTTCCGTGCACCACAGCCTGTAAACCGGTTACTGCCTGTTTAGTTGCCGTTCCTTAACTTTTAAGGTGTCCGTACTGCAAGATGCTGAATTACGCCGTGGAGTACCGCGGCGTCAAGACCAAGGAGGAGAAGGGCGTCGAGCAGATTGTGAGTGCCCGTAGTAAAACTGTTGTCCAGTGGTGTCTGCTTTCGTTTCTATGCTAGTTTTGCTATAATTGGGCGGTGCTGCGAAATCATGTGTAGGAGGAGCAGAGGGTGATTGAGGCGCAGATCAGGATGCGGCATCAGGAGCTCCAGGACGACGCTGAGCGGCTCAAGAACAAGCAGGTTGCTGCTTCGACCGATGAAGTAACAATCGCACAAGTCGAACCTTGTGATACTGGTGGCACATCCACCCCAGGTGTGTAGATTGCCGTAGCCTCTGTGTCTGCTGACTGACTGGCTCTATCTGTTTCTCTCTCTGTTTTTTGTTTGTTGCACAATTGCTGACTGGCAATTGTCCATATTGTTGATAGCTGCAAGCGGTGCCCAAGGCAATGATGCCGTCTCAGGTCAAGTACAGCATTCGGAGCTGCTATTGAAGAATGCTGAACGCTTGAGGCAGTTGCGGTATGTACTGGCTAACCATTTTCTTCTTTCTATCCTGCTCAACTCGTGTGACTATGGTTGCATCAATCAATTGTGGATTGCTTGTGCTTTCTAGATAAAACTCAGTTGAAGTACTGTAACTGTTGTTGCTTCAGTGGTTTGGACCCTCGCTGAAAGTTTTGTGCGCAAAATAATTAATCCTCAGTTGCACCAAATCAGGGAATTTGATAGCTTACCACCTGTACTTATCTGTAATCAAAGTGTCCTTACTTATTCCCCATTAGAAAATGTGACGGCTTACTATATGTAAATTCTGATAGAATTTTGTGCATTCTCTCCACCTGCTACAATAGTAATGGTCTGTCTCGCAATTAATAAGTAACAGGATGTGTCAGCTAGATGCTTATATGTTGTCATGTTTGTTGTCAAGTAAGGTCTTGGCAGTACCATGGAGACAAGATAGCTGTCAGTTTAAGATTTCTGTCTGCTCTTTTCTGTAGCAGTTTGTTGAACATCTTCGGGATGCCCTTGGCACCTTGATCATGCTGCTCTTTACTTGAAGCTAAATGGTTGTTGCGTGATCAATTAATACACCCAACTCTTGGTGTACCTTACCTAAGCACTGTATGGCGCCTATATGTATTGCTGCTTTTGACTTTTCTAGAAGATCTTCAGTTTAATTTGTATTAAAACATTATGAGAATCTCTAGCTACATATTACGTTCAATGGATTTCATTACTAGGCAATAAATGATAGGACATCCATCTTGAACTGAAAAGAAGATTTGACTATTGTTCGTTTTTAACTCACCCTTATCTGTGGATTTTCTGTGGGAATATCGTCGAAGCATCTATTGCTTGGTAGTCTTTCTTTTCCAGGAAAGGTCTGCTGAGTTTGAAATGCACCTGCTTTAAGGATCAATAGGTACAGCTTGGAAACAGAATTGTGCTGTTTTTCACCCGTTCCTTCCACCCTATTAGGCAACGCAGTTTATCCCATTATCTTAGCATTTTACTTGTTTTGCTTTAGTTTTCACTAGCTCTTTGTCATTTCGAGGAGTTAGAATCTAAGCCATCTAGGCACTGTCCCTGTCTTAAACCATAAGAAAAGATGTGCTAGTGAAAACACACTTGCCATCATCCCTTTACTCTCACTACCTATATTCGTCTATATCACAGTTATTGGTAATTTGGCATTGATAATACTGATGAATTCCTTAAAATGCAGGGATAATAATTTCGACATGGATCTTGAAGAAGTTATGCTTATGGAAGCGATTTGGCTTTCTGTACAAGTATGTTAAGATATTGCTGAATGAGATCTCTTGCTGAACTTATTTTCCAAATAGTTAGTTACTTAGTTTATAGAACTTGTTTTTTTCTTTCTTTTCTAAAAGATTTCAAAAAGGTTTATCCAGGGATAGGTCACATTTTGCCGCCATATCACAGAAAATGAGTTTTCTTTAGCATAGTTTGTAAGCATGATGGTCATGTGAATTCTTAATAGTACCGTCCAATACTATGTTCATCTTTTGCTGTTTACCATCTCCATTCACATAGTAGCTGCTTTTCAATTAATCATCATATGTCCTTCTCCTATAATTGGTCATCAGTCGGTTCAATATCCCTTTGAGTTACATGCTAATTAACTTAGAACCTGCTTGTTCACATAAATCTAAAATGCTGCTTATTTCTTGATATGTGAAACCTACTTTAGAAGTTATGTGTGCCAATCATTGTCATGTTCGCGGGTAGCCAGGGTAGGTGGTTCCATCAGTAGAATTGTATAGAAGTTTTCAAGGAATAAAACACCATTTAGACACTGCTTGTGTTAATGGGGAAAGGACAGTACTAATCATCTTACTAAAATAACCATGAACAGGATCAGGAAGCCTTAGGAAATCCAGGGAGCATAGGTGCCGTGCCACCAACACTTCCTCCAAGATGCTACGATGCATCCGGGGCCGCTTCAGCAGAAGCAGCTCCACCCGGTGGATTCGCCTGCGCGGTCGCGGCTCTAGCGGAGCAACAACACATGCTTGGAGACCCTTCCAGCGCTGCCACCTGCCAAACATCAAGACACGACATCCTCAGCAGGTCACAAAGGTCCTTCACAGAGGACCTGAGCATAGCCGGGAGCAGTTCCTCGGCCACCAGGGTCGAGGAACCACCAAACGGCAGAACGCCGCAGTCAAGAGACGGCGCGGACTACTCCAACAACGACGGGTGGTCGGAGGCGGCCGAGGCCAGCACCAGCTGCGCCGGCTCCGACATCACGGTAGAGGCCGGGGCCGCCAGTTTGGCGGCTGCTGCTTCGGACGTGTCTAGCATCGGTTCGGGCAACGTGCCCGACAGCTTTGAGGAGCAGATGATGCTGGCCATGGCGCTCTCGCTGGTCGACGCCCGGGGGGTCGGAGGCTCTCCTCCAGGGCTAGCTTGGCGGTAGCCGCTTTGCCCCATCCTATTTATTCGTTCCGGTCGGCTGGCGGGTGTTGTTCCTAGGTTTCTTCCTCTTGTGTGACAGAAAAGGCATAGGATTTTAGGTGGGGGCGGGTAAACGGAGATTGGCTCTGGATGTTGTGCATAGTGACTGGTGGGATAAATCTGCATATTTGCAGGTAGTGCTTGGCTATTTCTGTTCTTTTCTTTTTGTTTCTTCGCAAATGTAGAAAGTAGGTTGTGTCAGCCTGTCAGGCAGACCTTTGCCTGCCTGCATAGTTGAGGTCGTGCCGTTGAAGATGCGGAAATTGTGTAAATGGAGAAAGTTTCTCTCTGTTCATGCTGTGGGTGATCTAAATTACTGTCTGAAGGCTAAATTACTCCTGGAGGTCACATGTTACGTCAGTGCTTATTACTGTATCGTTCCTCCCATGTGCTCAGCTGAAACTGGAGTCTGGAGGTGCAGGCTACGTACCATGGCGGAGTCCTTGTGGCTGGCGCCGTCCATGTCAGAGCCAGAAACTGGGGCGAGTTGTACTAGGATGTGGACGGGCTCAGTCAGGCCCGCGCCGTGCAGTCAGGGCCGCAGACCAGCTGTTCAGCATGGAACACACATCACAACCGATCAGCATTCAGCAGCTGCATTGGGCGGCCGCCTGATGGTAAGTTCTCCTCAAGCACTAGCATTTGTACCTCGGCTTTGGGCCAGGCCGGACTTTTCAGTCTGGGTTTCCCTTCAAGCCCAATCTGCAAAGAGCAACTCTGTACTGCATACGAAGCGCGTTGCATGATTGTTCATAGCATGCGGAGTCGACGCGCAAACTCAAAATCGCTATATTCTACGCTTCAAATTCCATCTGCCTCCTGGTATCCACTTATCAATGGGATATCATTTTCCCTCAATCTCTGTTCCAGCTCTCCTTTGGTGGTTAGTTGAAGAGGTAGGTTTAGGGTTTTGCGTGAGTGGCTAACATCCAGCCTCACGTCTCTCTTTATATAGATGAACATAATATAATTATATACGTATATAAATACGTGTACATGTACAATATGCTAAACCCTATTTTACATGCCCCTCAATCTGAACTACATACAAAATTCAGATTGGTTCTGAAAAGGTCTAGCATCCGTCGAGTAGCGGGTTTAGTAAATACATCCGCTAGCTGATCATCAGTTGAGATAAACCTGACTTTCAGTTTACCAACAGCTACTCGTTCCCTCACAAAATGGAAATCAATCTCAATGTGTTTGGTCCGAGCATGAAACACTGGATTCGCCGTCAGGTAAGTTGCCCCTAAATTATCACACCATAATATGGGCGTGCGCTGCCGTGTGACTCCAAGTTCTGTGAGAACTGTGTCTATCCAAATGGCTTCAGTCGCGCCATTGGCCAACGCCTTGTACGCTGCCTCGGTGCTAGACCTCGAGACTGTAGGCTGCTTCTTGGAACTCCAAGATATAAGATTTGGGTCCAACAAATATAGCAAAGCCACCAGTAGAATGCATGTCGTCAACACAACCTGCCCAGTCTGCATCGGTGAATATACTGACTCTAGTAAATCTGGACTTACAAATCCGTAGTCCCGTGTCTAGCGTATCTTTGACATACCTCAAAATACGCTTAACTGCTTCCCAATGAACCTCCGTAGGCTGAGACAGGAACTGGTACACTTTATTCACGGCAAAGGAGATATCTGGACGAGTGAGTGTCAGATACTGAAGTGCTCCAACTACACTGCGATACCTGAAAGAGTCGTCGGTACTCAGCAATGCACCACTGTGACGCGAAAGGCTCTCGGATGTAGCAAGTGGAGTGGAAGTGGACTTGCAGTTGTCCATGTTGACGCGATGAAGGAGATCAAGTGCATACTTCTTCTACGTCAATGTTATGCCCCCTGAATGAAAGGACGCTTCCAAACCAAGGAAGTACTCCAACCGGCCCAAGTCTTTGATGGGAAAACTCGCAGACAAGGACTGCACAAGGCGATCCACCACAGTAGGTGTAGAACCAGCAATCACAATATCATCAACATACACCAGCATGTATATCTGAATAGCACCATGTGAAAAAATGAACAGGGATGCATCTGCCTTGGAGGGAACAAAACCAAGCTGTGAGAGCCGCTGACTCAACCGAGCATACCAGGCACGCGGTGACTGTTTGAGCCCGTAGATGGACCGCTGGAGTTTGCAGACATGAGAGGGATAACGAGCATCCGCAAAACCAAGGGGCTGCTGTGCTACGTCTCGAGCTTGCGTTCGTTTTCCCCGAAGAGGAGAGGATGATGCAACACAGTAGCGTAAGTATTTCCCTTAGTTTTTGAGAACCAAGGTATCAATCCAGTAGGAGGTCACGCGCAAGTCCCTCGTACCTGCACAACACGATAGCAACTCGCAACCAACGTTTAGGGGTTGTCAATCCCTTCACGGTCACTTATGAGAGTGAGATCTGATAGAGATAATATTTTTGGTATTTTTGGTATAAAGATGCAAAGTAAAAAGTAAAGGCAAATCAAGTAAATAAAGTGATAGAGATTGATATGATGAGAATAGACCCGGGGGCCATAGGTTTCACTAGTGGCTTCTCTCAAGAGCATAAGTATTCTACGGTGGGTGAACAAATTACTGTTGAGCAATTGATAGAATCGAGCATAGTTATGAGGTTATCTAGGTATGATCATGTATATAGGCATCACGTCTGAGACAAGTAGATCGAAACGATTCTGCATCTACTACTATTACTCCACTCATCGACCGCTATCCAGCATGCATCTAGAGTATTAAGTTAAAAACAAAGTAACGCCTTAAGCAAGATGACATGATGTAGAGGAATAAATTCATGCAATATGATAAATACCCCATCTTGTTATCCTCGATGGCAACAATACAATACATGCCTTGCAAGTCTTTCTGTCACTGAGTAAGGACACTGCAAGATTGAACCCAAAGCCATGCACTTCTCCCATTGCAAGAACTACCAATCTAGTTGGCCAAACCGAACGGATAATTCGAAGAGACTTGCAAAGATAACTCAATCATACATAAAAGAATTCAGAGAAGAATCAAATATTTTCCATAGATAAGTTGGATCATAAACCCACAATTCATCGGTCTCAACAAACACACCGCAAAAAGAAGATTACATCGAATAGATCTCCACGAGAGAGGGGGAGAACATTGTATTGAGATCCAAAAAGAGAGAAGAGGCCATCTAGCTACTAGCTATGGACCCAAAGGTCTGAAGTAAACTACTCACACTTCATCGGAGGGGCTATGGTGTTGATGTAGAAGCCCTCCGTGGTGGATGCCCTCTCCGGCGGAGCTCCGGAACAGGCCCCAAGATGGGATCTCGTGGATACAGAAGGTTGCGGCGGTGGAATTAGGTTTTTGGCTCCGTCTCTGGTCTATTGGGGATACGTAGGTATATATATAGGAGGAAGGAGTACGTCGGTGGAGCTTCAAAGGGCCCACGAGTTAGGGGGCGCGCCCAGGGGGGCGCACCCTCCACCCTCGTGACCTCCTCGGAAGCTTCTTGGAGTAGGGTCCAAGTCTCCTGGATCACGTTCGGTGAGAAAATCACGTTCCCGAAGGTTTCATTCCGTTTGGACTCCGTTTGATATTCCGTTTCTTCGAAACACTGAAATAGGCAAAAAACAACAATTCTGGGCTGGGCCTCCGGTTAATAGGTTAGTCCCAAAAATAATATAAAAGTGGAAAATAAAGCCCAATATAGTCCAAAACAGTAGATAAAGTAGCATGGAGCAATCAAAAATTATAGATACGTTGGAGACGTATCAAGCATCCCCAAGCTTAATTCCTGCTCATCCTCGAGTAGGTAAATGATAAAAAGGAATTTTTGATGCGGAGTGATACTTTGGCATAATTTCAATGTAAATCTTCTTAATCATGGCATGAATATTCAGATCCGAAAGATTCAAGATAAAAGTTCATATTGACATAAAAATAATAATACTTCAAGCATACTAATCAAACAATTATGTCATCTCAAAATAACATGGCCAAAGAAAGTCCATCCCTACAAAATCATATAGTTAGGCTATGCTTTATTTTCGTCACACAAAGATGTTCCAAACTTCTGTACCCCCGATGACAAGCCAAGCAATTGTTTCATACTCAAATAATCTCAAACTCTTTCAACCTTCACGCAATACATGAGCGTGAGCCATGGATATAGCACTATGGGTGGAATAAAATATGATGATGGGGATTGTGTGGAGAAGACAAAAAAGGAGAAAGTCTCATATTGACGAGGATAATCAACGGGCTATGGAGATGCCCATCAATTGATGTCAACATGAGGAGTAGGGATTGCCATGCAACGGATGCACTAGAGCTATGAATGCTCAACAAAAGAAAACTAGTGGGTGTGCATCCAACTCGCTTGCTCACGAAGACCTAGGGCATTTTGAGGAAGCCCATCATTGGAATATACAAGCCAAGTTCTATAATGGAAAATTCCCACTAGTATAAACAAGACAATTTATGAGACTCACTATATGAAAAACATGGTGCTACTTTGAAGCACAAATATATGAGACTCACTACATGAAGAACAAGGTGCTATTTTGAAGCATGATGTGGTAAAAGGATAGTAACATTGCCCCTTCTCTCTTTTTCTCTCATTTTTTATTGGCCTTTCTTTTTTTATTGGCCTTTCTCTTTTTTTTCGTCCGGAGTCTCATCCCGACTTGTAGGGGAATCATAGTCTCCATCATCCTTTTCCTCACTAGGGCAATGCTCTAATAATGATGATCATCACACTTCTATTGATTACAACATAAGGATTGCAACTCGAAACTAGAACAAGATATGACTCTATATGAATGCCTCCGGCGGTGTACCGGGATGGTGCAATGAATCAAGAGTGACATGTATGGAAAATAATGCATGGTGGCTTTGCCACAAATACAATGTCAACTACAAGATCATGCAATGGCAATATGACAAAAGTAATGCATGTCACGATGATGATGGTGGAAGTTGCAT